TTTCTTTTCCTTTTTTTTTTTGTGTCCCACGCTAATCTGCAAGTGTCAGCGAGCTGGCATGAGAGCAATCCACACAACTGCCAGGGAGGTAAAGTGGCAAATGCGATGTGTGTGTGTCTTTTAGGGAGTTGGGGGGGGGGGGGGGGGGATTTGGCGGGCCTTGATATTTTCGGCGGTCGTGTAAAAGGGCCTGTCAACAAAAATGCTCAAGAAAGGCAATGCTTTGCTCGAAGCAATTAGATGTTATCTGAGAATGTATTAGAGCTCTCCAGCTTCACAATGAGCCCTGCAGCCTGCGCGAATGCACCGCCCTGTTTAAAACTGCGGCAAACACACTGCGACAATGCACGTTTACACCGGCATCCCCTTTCAACATTTGAGTTCTGCATATTAATGAAAAAAACTTGACTTTTGGGGTTGTATTTCTATTTACAATGTCATTTTTACAATACAATGGCCTATACATAGTCTCTTTAAATTACATGATATGAAAGATAACTTCTCAGTTTGCTTACATGCCGTAAGTACAGCTGGTACTCTGGCTTTTTCTATGACCAAGCATCCACATTTCCTGGTCATTTTTAACTCACTTTACTCTCCACTGGCCTCAGTACCAAGCTGTAAAGCATAATAGATTTATATTTTAAAATAAAATAAAAAAAGGTCCTGAAAAGAAATCCTGCTTCTGCGCCATCAGCAAAGTTTCGTCCGACCCCCCTGGCACTTCGGCATCGCATCTTCCAAATGCTCAAGAGCCACCCGTGTCACCCCTGCCCCATATTCCTTAACACGGCAGTATCGGGGGAGCCCCTGCTGAAGCGCGATCCTTCATGTGGACAACGCGTGGGCAGGAAACACTTGCAACAGGTGCCGCCCGATGACGCTCGATCCTCGGCCCTTTGTGCCGGAGCACGAGTGGGAGTGGGAGAGGCCGCAGGGGTCGCGCTGACCCAAGAACAGGGCGCACCATGCCTACTGTCTGACTGGAGAGTCAGACGTCAAAACAAGGATCACACTAAATTATTCGCCACCATTTTTCTTCCCTGACACTTTTAGGGAGTACAGAACTAATGAATGGATTGATGTTGGAACAACTGTCATGTCTGTAGTGGTCATAACGGTTAATATAAAACCGTAATCTTTAGATGTTTCTTTTTTCTTATGACTACCAGCCAAGCTTTTAGTTTTCAAAACTGGTAAATTGAAAACTCAAGCACCAAACTTTTCCATCATGCTGCGCGTCTTAACTTTAGTATATGAAAGATTAAAATACTAAAAAAATAATAATGATAATAAATCTCATTCCCTTTAATTTTAAACTAGTAGTGGTTTTAAAAATGCATCAAATCATAACTATTATTATTATTGTTATTACTACTACTACTACCGCCACCACCCACTCCCTTAAAAAGAGAAAGGAAGAAGGAAATGTAGGTGGAAAAATAAAACTATGGCTTGTTTCCACCTTTCAACTGAGCTGGCGGCTTTAAAAAATGACTAACTTTTGTTGATGTATGAATCGGCGGGGAGTCTATTTATCAGCAGGCCCTCTGCGGTCGCCCGCTTGGGTCCCTCAAGTCACAAGCCGCGTCGCTCCCCTTTGACTGATTAATTAGCCAATCAGAGGACATTTTTCACTGGGCGGCAGAATGGTTTATTTCAGCTAATGCCGGGGTTTCGAGTTGAGGCCCGTTGGAGCCTCGTTGGCTCTTTCGGCCTGCCTGAGTGGCTGGGCAGAGGGGCAAGGGAGATAAATCAAGCTGGGCTGGCCCTCCATGTGGCTCCCCTAACTAAACCCCCAGAGGAGGGCACAGAGAGCAGGGGTGGTGGAGAAGGAGGGGGGAGGAAGGAGAGCGGGACGCAAGACGGCCAGGGGCACTGCTTGCCTGCCGATAAGAACGGGGAGCAGGGCGCTGCCAAAGTGCCTTCATTTAAAAGTGGCCGGGGCTTTTTTGATATCTCGGCAGAGAGCGCCTGTCATTTGTCATGCGGTGAGTAATTGTACCGAGGGGCACAAGGAGGAGGCAGGAGATGGAGGCGGGTTGCTAGCGTGGGATGGGTGATGGATAACCGAGAGGTAAGTAGATAGACAGGTGCTACGCCGCAACCCTCACAGTAAGGCAGAGTAAATAAGGTTGTTTTGTTTTTTTAAGCACATATTTTCATGTGGCTACATAAAAACTGGTTATGGATGACATGGGAGATTCTCTAAGAACACGATCTTAGGAAATACTCTTGCACGAGTAAAATTAGGTTACAACCATGCTCAACTACATGTTTGTACATGCAATTAAAAGAAAAAAAAAATCAAACAGTGCTTCTAATCCCTGCTCTATCATACACTGTAAGAAAGGAGGGAGGAATGTGCATTTCACTATGATATCCCATCTGTCAGCATACTTAATCACAGATAATCACTTGTCAGTTAATTAAAGTTGACACAAAAATGCTTGTTTAATCACGGTCTGATCAAATATCTGCTGAACTATGCCAGGAAACAGGGTCAGTATGAGTTTCCTTTAAGCTTTCATGTGCATTTCTCTTTTTTTTTTTAAATATCAAAAATAACAGTAAAAAAATTGCAAAAGAAAAAAAAAATGATGCAGATTTTTCATTATGTACAGCTTTAAAATAAATACATTCTTAACCTGGAAGATAAATTTTTACCTTAAACAGAGCTCTACCCTCTGAACAAGATATTTACATTTAATATTAACACTAAAGAAATAGAGCTACTGCTCCCTGTAAATAACCAATTAAAATATTCTCATATACTGTTTCCAATACATTCTCATCTTTGATGAATAGAGGCATCTGGGACAGCTGAACGTGTACACACTGTGTGTGTGTGTGTGTCTCTGCGTGTTTGTGCGTGTGCGCATGCGCTTGTCTGCACTTCAGGGAGGGTTGTGAGCCGCGATAAGAGGTGAGCAGGAAGCACATCACTGCAAAGGAAGGAAAACACCAGCAGTGAGGAACTGGTGGAAAGGAGGCCGGAGAGACAGCAGTGGGTGTGATTGTGCTGGAAGATTCATGAGGGGGAAGGAGGGCAGGTCTGGAGAAGCCGATCCAGATTTGGTCAAAGTCTCTTGGCCTCACCTTGTCACGATGCAGATATGTGATATAATGCGACCGGTGGCAGTGGCTTCTGCAAGCCACTACAAATCAACTACACCATCAAGCCAAAGCTCGTCGCTACTAAGGGTTACAACTCCATGGGGCATTGAGATTACTGCAAGCATATATTATACTTTTGCAGCAACAGCAGTTAAATGTAAGCACAGATCAGTGTGAGCTGAGGGTCACTGGCAGCGTCGCCTTCACTCTCGCAGGAGATTCGGCAAAATGCCTAGAGCTCGATTGGTCCATCACCCTCTTTGCCTCTTTTCCAGCAACCTCAGATGTTGCTGGGTTTCAACACAAGGCCTCATGGGAAAGCATTGTAATTGTGTTGAGTGTTTTCGATATGGTCAATGGTGTCCCTCCTGGCTGTAAAATAACAACCCATAACCAAATGTTTAGAGAGGGAAAAAATATGGTGTGTATTGCTTGCATTTCCAGTGTTAATCAGCTGGGGAGCAGCTGCCATTGTGATGCTATGGCTCAGCACCTGCTGGGGGGATAGGGCAGGGTGGATTTTGTACAATTTATGGATATTTAAGATGCCAATTTCTTCAAGCCAAATGCTCGAGATAAACACAAGAAGCCAGCAAGAGGCTTTTTCTGGGCCTTGGAGTCCAAAAGCTAGATATGTTATTGTTCTTCTGGCCCTCTACTGGGCCAGTAAAAGTTCTAAGAACAACAAAAAAAAGTTTTTATTGCACATTTTTAAATGTGTTATTTTTTTCATAATAAAATAATAAAAAGTACAAGTTATGTGGGTGCTTAATAATTTCCAGTTCTTCTGTGCATGTAAATCTGTTCTATTAATCAGCTTAGATCATTTTTAATAGCATCTTTTATGTACATGTATTTTTAACTATATAATTCACTCATCTGTCTTTCATTTCAATAAATGACATCTTTGATGTGAGTTTGAATAAGTACGGCTTCATATAACTCCACAGATAAACACTTGAGCTGATTTTCTGATTAAAACAGCTTGACAACTTATTTAAAAATCAATAGAAAGATGATGCAGGCAAATTTCATAAATAACATTTTGCTTTTGATATGTAAGCTAAAGGTTCTTACTGGATTCGAAATACAACTCTGACCTGTAAGCCATGTTCCAAAAGCATGAGACCTACCATAACGCCAAATGGCAAAGTGACGTTTGAAGTGATGGGCCCACCAATGCCAAGAGCAAAAAAGAAACTTTTTTTGCAAGCGTCATCATTTCAGATTTCTGCACACCTCACTGCAATTTTGATGTTCCTTTAATAATGCCCGCTGGCACTCTTAACTAGCTGATGTGACGCTTCGAGACAGAAGTACAGCAAAGCAGGAGTGCGAGGGAGAGGAGTAGGGGGTAAGAGTGCAAATCCCTTAACTGGATTTAGGCGCTCTTGCTGCCATCGGTGGCCTGTTAGAGGTGTTAAAGCTGCATGCTGTGACACGGCTAATCTAGGGCCACGGGCTGCTCAAGGAGCCGTACCCCGCAGAAGCAGAAGGACCAGATGATACCAGAGTTACCGATGGAAGGAAGCATCAGCAACCAATAATCATTTGGAATTACCAAGGAGACACAGATAAGTGCAAGCCAGCTGGGCCAGTGGTGCGGCATCTCCTGCTGGACTGCACGCTTGACTTTGACGGGGTTAAGGAAGATCAGAGTCCTGTGCCCTTGCACTAATATTTTAGGAACGCACCCACTGGATTAGAATTACTATCTACAAAGCTTTTGTGCGAAGCCACAGGACAGTTTGTTTTTAACTTGTTAAACTAAGTGGATTTGATTAATAAAAATAAAAACTAATGTTTTTATAAATTATAATATTGAAGTCTCAAAACAACTTTTTTTCTAATTCTGAATGATGTAAATAGGTGTAATCTCTTACCTGATCTTGGACTTTTGCTGATTTAGCCCTCTTCCCAAAGATACAGTTAAGATCTGTTTCACTACGACTGGATAGATCCTTTCCTGAAAGAGTAATAAGCAGAAAAGAATATGTACAAATCATTAACACCAGGCTGGAAAATTTTTGTGCTGCGACTCGGAATAAAAAGACCACCTTATGAATTAAAAGGTGATAAAAATTGATTCACAGTCCCATTTTCAACAACATGCACGCTTTTTTTTTCTTAAAGAACATTGTTTATTGTTTCTCTTTTTTCCAGGCAAACCTTTAAATATTGCAGCTGAGTACCTTATGTGTGTTTGTGTGTTGGGGGTGAGCAGAAGGTGGTCACTGAGTAAATAAAAGAAACAGGGTAGGGGTGGTGGGGGGCTGTATTCTTTTTGCAGGGATAAAACGGTAAAGAAAAATAAACTGGACGAAAAGGTCTGCTACGCCACGCCTCCGGATTCCCCTTTTCAAGCGGGTCCTCAAAGACTCCTGAAGCACACAGTGGCTTGTCTCAAGCCTGGGTCCTGTTCATGCAGCTGCATCCTCTTCCTTCAGCGGGGCTCTGATAACATTTGGTTATTTATTGCTTTTAAACCTCTATCTCCCCTGCCCTTGGCTTTGAAAGTCCCTGCACATACAAGGTCTAAGCAGCAAAACCAAGAAAGTCCGATGAAAAGTAAAATAAATGGAAAGGACGGTGGGGGTGGGTGGGGTGGGGGGGTGTTTGCTGTGGTGGTTGTCATCTAGTGAACTCCGGCCAGACAAAAATTATATCCAATTTGACCTTTCTACTGTTTGGATGAGGAAGTGCCTGTCAAAATTGTCAGGCTTTCAGGTGAAAGTGCAAATAACAACGTTCTGATTAAAAAAAGAAAAATCCTAGTTTTTCCCACTATGCGTTTAAAGTTGGATGAATACACTTAAATGGGATGAAGCGTGGGTACTGCCCACATGCAGTGGAAAAGGTTTGCGGTTTCCAAGGTCACAGATGAAACGACAATTATCAGTAGAGACTTACAGAAGCTCCAGTGAACAGAAAACACTGTCAGTGAAATTAGAACGGGAGGTCCTCAGCATATATACATGCAATTCACACGGTCTGTTAGGCTCCATCAATTCACTTTGGCCGTGATGCAAAAACATGTTTAATTAAAAGCCCAAAAGCTGGAATGAAGCCAACACAGAGTAGCCGATGGAGAGCTGTAGTTAAATTCCGCATCAACCACCCTTGCTGCCCTGACAGGTGATAGATGGAGGTAGCAATTAAAACTGGGTTACTGGTTTATGCTGTGGGCCCTGGACCTAAGCAGTGGAGATTTTGGTGCCTTTCCCCACAAACAAAGGCCATCAATCCTCAGCGCTGGCAGAGAGAGAACCAGCATGAACAGGATATCAATATTAAAAAGAAAAAAAGAAAGGGAGAGTCGGGAGGAGACCTGCACTAAAAGGGAGAGGTACTGATGATGCTGTGGCCACAATGTTTTTACAGCAGTACTGCAGGAATGCACTGAGCTCAGTGTCTGGTTATAGACCAAGCCAAGCCAATTCTCAAGAATGGGGCAATTCGGCAGAAGTGAGAGGGGAAGACCCGGGAAGAATTTTAACTTAAACTTGCTTTTGAATCAAAATGTGAGTATAAAAAAAGTTAAGCAGTACAAACTGAGAGCCAAAAAGAAAACATAGATGATTGAAATAATGATCATAATGGAAAAATGTTTAATTATGGCTAACAAGCATTAGATAAGAGTACGGATAAACTATTAGATCCGTTTGTTGGAAAGAGGAGATAAGCTGTTATAATAGTTATAAGTAACTGAATCTTTATCTAGGAGTTTTTTCAAAGGCATAATCAATTAGTGACTAAATGGAATCAATAGCTGTTAAATGGAGTGCACCAGTGTTTTGAAATGGTGGGCCAAAAGTTGCAGATAAATGGTTTAAACCAATGATGTCAAACTTATTTTACACTGAGGGCCAGAAAATAACAGAAAAGATCCATTTTTTTTGGCTATTTAATTGTTTATCTGTTACTTAATTACTTTGGTGTCGTTTGAATGCCCATGAGGGAGGTCTTTGTAGGCAAGACAAACTTATGAAAATACAGATAAAAGTCCAAAATTTATGCCCTCTTTCATATTTTCCAAAGCTGTCCAATGGTCTGGAATCTAGGCTTTGCCAGGCCAATTCTGGCTCCTGGGCTTTATGTTTGACACCCCTGACTTAAACAATTCACAAGCATAACTGCTCTAAACAGAGCTAAAAGTAGTCCAATCTTAGAATAAAATTAATTCAACTGAAGCTGCGCGGTGGTGAAGTGTTTTAGATGCAAAAAACTACTGGACTAAATAAACAATGTACTTTAAAATGGCTCAAATGAGGTTGGAATATTCAACCAGAGACACTATCACGAAAAGGCTGACAGTCAATGACAGAGCTATTACCTGATCTTTTCAACCTCTCATGTAACAAGCTTAACAACTCTAAATCCAAGCCTCAACTTGGCAACAGCTTCACAGAGAGGAGAGCGGTCGGTGGAAACTTGCAAACAGCCGTGACAGGTTATATGTTGCCAGGTAACTCTTTGGTTTTAATCTGCGCCATAAACTGAAAACAAAATGATGATCTGTCAAGAGGAAGTGCCCAATACATAAAATACTGTCACCTGCCACTTAGAGAGAACAATAAATATGTTCTCAATTTAAAAAGGTCAAAAATGACAGTTCTCTAGTTCAAAGTGCACTGACCATAAACGCCTATCAGACCACTGAGAACTGGGAGTCTCAAGTTTCCAATTAAATTATAAGTTGCGTACAGTCAAACATGAAATACCAGCCTCCTTTATTGTTGCGTGACAACGGTTGCCACCTCTTTGTATAGCAACATGTTAAAACGGTGTTATATTCCCAAAGACAGTTGAAGGTCTACGGTCAACAGAGCTGCACTCTCCTTCAAGAGTCCAGCTACAATAATTGCACCTGCAATCCCCCTAAACGGTTTCCTTCTCAACATGCCAAATGCAATGAACTGCAAATTTTCTCTTTAGTTTCCTCTGAAATTTTATAAACATCTGGTGGGAATAAGAGTAGCATTTCAGCAGGTTCACTAGAAACATGTAGAAGACACATTTAACAAGAAACTGGTGTGAAACAGTTCAGACTAATGAGACAAAATTAAACTTAAATTTTCAACAACAGAGACCACTATAGAGACGGCCGGGGCATGCATTTATGCCAATGGAACTTGCACACAAGACACACTACGATAAATCAGAGATTTAAAAAAATGTCCAGAGCAGTCAAACAAGCCCAGGGTTCAACAAAGGCTCCGGTCCACTGGACAGTTTAAAAAAAATAAAAAATAAAAAATGTGGAGGACCTCACCCATGGCTATTCAAACTACACCAAACTAACCGAGTTGTGGATTTCTGTATTTTACACATTTAATTCTTACAATTTAAGCACAAAGACTTGTGCTGACAGCATTTTTTGTCTTTTTCCTTCAATGATGGTTTCTCCTTTATTACACATGTAGTTAAATTTCTCTACACTTACAGAGAGGGGACCTTCACTGTATGTGGCCCATGATGTAAAATGAGTTTGACATCTCAGTGCGATTCCAATTATGTGTTAACAGTCATCCTCTCCCATACAGATGTTGATGTAAACCTACTCAAATTAAATCTAAGCTTCAGCACAGTATTTTATAAAATAACTGTCCAGAACCAGATTGGACTAAATTTTATCTTGTACACTCATGAGGCCTAATAACATATAAGAAACTTAGTTGGCCATATTTCACATTTCAAAAGCAGATGTGGTTAAAAAGGCAGTGCGCTGTATATAACAATGTAAAGCGATCAGGAAGCAGGCGGAAACAGAATGAGCCAAAGGTGCTTCTGGGTGAGTCACAAAGGTTTCAATCTAAACTAAACTTCACACAAGGCTGTACGAGCACTCAGCATCTAACTCTGATCTGTAGTGAACCAAGAAAAACTGAGCATCAGCATCATCATCATCATCCCGCCAAGTCCACACTTTATGCTTTGCGTGTCTCTTGTATAGGTGAATCTCATCTGTCAGGAAACACTCACGCAAAAAAAAAAAGGGGTCCGTTTTTGGCTCCTGCTAAATTAAGACTACAAAAACAGGGCAAGAGGGTCTGGGGGAGAGACCGAGGCAGTGTTTTATCAGGATGGGTCATCTAATAGGTCACGGGAGGTTGTTGTTTTTGGGGGGCCAGTAAATGGAGATGCCAGATGCCCCAAACAGGAAGCAGGAAGCTGCTATTGAATGACGTAAAGTGTAGAAGGCTCTTCCAGGTGAGGCAAAAGTTGAGGTATTTTGTTTTTGCAGAGCATGCTGACTTGATGAGGTAGATTTTAAGCTAGTGACAAATAATTATTGTTATTGTATTATTATTTAGACATGTTTACAATCAATGAGTGCACTAACATACAAAACAAAAATAGTATCTGTATCAGCTACATAATCCAAGTACAAAATAACACACGGTTTCATCATTTCACCAAAGAAGGTAGGTGTGTGATCGTGAAACTATGCTGCAAGCCCAAATGCAGCGACTCAGCAAAATATGGGCTAGCAGTTACCCATTTTGGTCCAGAACACAAAAGTCCTCCTTACGCCTATCAGTGTTCTGGCCTTGACCAGCAAATCTTAACTTCCTGACGTGTAAAAGAGCAATGAAAGGAGAGGGGAGAGTTATAAATAACCTCCCCTAGTGCTCACACCAGGCCAGCTGACCCAGGACAGGCTGACGGAGCTCTGATCAGAGCCTGTGGTCTGAGACGAGCACAAAGCTTAACGAGGGTCAAAGAGGTTGTCTGTCCGTCTCCCTGAGTAGATGGTATGCAGGTGTATATTGGCATCAAAATAAGAAAGCAGGGGGGATTATTTTTGCTTGCAGTTAGAATGAACTAATTATCCTCAATGCGTTTCTAACTTTCTGCTGTGTTAAGAATATAATCAGGCCTCCTGGCTGACATTTTAATTGTTTTTTAAATAGGATATAGTTTGACAGGTAATTGCTGCAGAGAGCAAGAAAACTGTGTTTAGCATCGTATATCTTAGCACATTTATTCCTGTTCATCTCGCTCCATTGCCGCCTCATGATAAACCCACCTTTAGTGAATTTCATGTAGTGGACCCTCTTTTTGGATGTCTTGGATTTTTCTTCCAAACTGAAGCCTTTCTGCTCATTTGGTGGAGTTTCTACAGAAGAAGAAAATTGAAGATAAAAGTTGAAATATGACCCAGATTGAGTTAGAAAATTAGAAGAATGTTATTTAGTATCATCATCCGGTAGTGTAAACATGTTTTTGTCAGCACTGAGGATAATGGTTACTGTGAATATAGCCTTGCCTTTAAGTAACTAAATGTTGCACTGTAGCACCCTCTACTGTCCAACGGGCTGATTGATCAAAACAGACTTTTTTTCTTTTTTTGCAGTTTTGTGTTGCTTGATAACAGATAAAAGTTTTCACTTGTTTTGGAAATGTTACTATTGAATATGAGTTTGTTTTGCATTTCTTTTAACACCAGCATGCACCAACACTACATGCTTTACAATATAACATTCAGTACTGTGCAGAACTCTTGAACCATTCCTAATTTCTTTACATTTTGCTTCCAAGGAGCCACACCGTCTTATAATCAAGTGCTCTTGACCAATAGTTCTAAAGGATTTCTGGAGAATTTTAAAGAAATGACAAGAAAACGGCTCAAGCGAGTTGAACAATAAAGGTGGTCATACTAAATATTGACTTTAAAAGTCAGAATTCTATAAACTCTGTTGTTGAATTTTATACTGTATTTCCATGCATGTTTGAACATTTCAATAAATGAATGCATCTATTTCCCATTTTCCTAGTAAAATATATGACTCAAGACTTTTGCATAGTTGATCAATGGCAGAATGAACTATAAAACTAACCAAATATAATTATGAACATGTAGGAAGTCACTATATCCTGGCCATCCAGGATATCATCGTATACTTGACATGCTGCTATGTTGTGCTATGACACAAGACAAGCAGCCTTCATTAGTTTTCATTAGTTTGTCTTACTAAGATATGATCGCCTTTATTAGTCCCACAGCTCAGAAATTTAGTTGTATAAAGTTGATAAAGGTTTATCGGGCTTCGTGTACATACCACTGCTGCTGTTTTGACCATGGCAGCTGTTCAGTTGAGCAAGCAGCTCATTAAAATCATCTTGGTGAGCAATCCACTTATCCTGTGGAAAAATCATACACGGCAACACAATGTGACTAAAAAACGACAGGTTAAAATGACAACTTAAATAATTAATGAGGATTTGTAAAAGTCGAAAAATCTCAAATTACACCATGCAAAACAAAATGACATAGTTAGGGTCAACACAGATGTGACTTTTTAAAAGCCTTCATTTGATTCAAACGTGAAACTGGGCTTTAAACGTTTGCTTACCTCACAGCTGGCATTTGCTCCAAGCCCATAGCTGTCATTTTTAACTTTCACTTTGATATGGTCAGTTGAGCCTTGCTCACTCCTCCCCAGACCCTTAATTCAGATTTGAAAAAGAAAGGGGAAAAAAAAAAGGGGGGGAGAGAGAGACATGAGACATGCTCACCAGTTCTTCCAATGTACAGTCTCTGAGGAAAAAAACCCCCAAAAAAACCAATATTAACCGCTTTCATTACTTACCTTTCCCTTGGACCACCCCATTCGCTCAAGCATCTTCTGGCCAAATTTGGAGTCATCATTACTCCAGGCGCTGTTCCTGGGGTCGACAGACCACTTAAGCTTCCTACGAGCTGAACATACAACAGCAGCAACAGTGTTACATAACAGGAAACCAGAACAAGTCAGTCACATCGTCTCCTACTTTAAATGGTCTATACGCCTGACTGACACTGGGTTTATGGAGCCAACGCACATATGATTAACACCGATAAAAACAAAGACGGGATGCATTATGCGTGTGTTCATGACAGGAGCTAACCTGACAGTTATGAGAGATCACAATTGAAGTTTTACACTCCAACCATGCTTCCAGCGAGCTTTCTGCCACAACTTACGATTAAAGAGTTAACAGAGTGCATGTTTTAATAAACTTCTGCATCCCCAGAGCAAAACCTAACTACAAATGAGTGAGTTACTGTCGTTAGGAAGCAGTCAAAAGAAAAAACACGTGTCCACAGACAGCTGTTAAAAATGCTAATGCTAACTACCGGAATACTTTAATACACAATTCTACAAACTAATGAGCGTTTTCAGGAGGAAACTATGTGACATATTTTGTAGACCGGGGGTGCGAAAATAACCACCTAAACGTAGCGTCATGCGACGTCAGAAAAAATAAATATATATTTTAAAAAAGTGAAACAAGTATACATACGCTCAGCGAGCATGGACATCCTGAGGTCCTTTAACAGCTTGACGAAGGTCCAATAGGGTTCTCAAAATATGCCTGCGCAAAATACACGACTACGGCGGTATCGGAGGTGAATATCGCCTCACGGAAGCAAATGTTGTGTGCCTCATTCATTATGAATGACACTATACTATATGAATTTTTATATTATTTTATCGTGTCATATTATCTTTACTTTATTTGTTAACGTTACAGGTGAATATTTTTCGCAGACAGAGGGCGCTACAGCCAAACAGTCAGTCATTGGTCAGGACAGTTTGCTGCACGTGGCAGCTCACGCGTGTTTAAACAGCCAATCAGAGTTATTCTGGGTTTCTGAATTTAACACTGCTATAATGCTAAATATACAAATACATGTAGAGCCCACCTATAGACAATAATTGTTAGACACAAAACTAAAATGGGTTGGTGGTGTAAGTGACATCATAGCAGAAATTAATTAATACAAACAGTTTATATTCCAGCACACATCACAAGACCACTTGGCCAATGTATGTGCAGTGATCCAATTCAGCTGATATCAGCTCCCAGATCTTTCAGTCAAGTTCCACCCAAACTATTCTGTGCCCAGGTCAAACAAAGCACTGCCTAATTTCCTTCCCATACATGCAGCGGAGAAAACAATATCACAGGTGCATTTGACAAAATGACCTTTGACTATGCAGCAACACATTTAAAGAGGTTTTTATATAAAGAGGATTTGTGAACCAGAAGAACTATAAAAATATCAAATGATTAAGGAAATCTCAGTGCAGACCTGCTGTGGAAAGATTGTTGTCTGTTTTTCTTTTTGTTTTGTTAAAGTTGCTTAACTCATGGGAGCAAGGAAGCAAACCTGAATCATCTCTCCTCTCTCACTTAATGCCCGATATCACTTTTCACCTTAAGAAATCCTGTTGAAAGGTCTCTCACTAAAAGAAGAAGCACTTGAACTCTGAAAAAGAAGCCTGCTAGCTGCCTTTGAATTCGGCAGCTTTACCCACAGCAGAATAAACAGTAAATGCACATGGGCCAACTGAAGTTCACACAAAATACTGTAGTCATGCTTCTGTAACTTAGCACAAACCTAAATAAAGACACAGCAATAGTATCAACAGATGCAGTGGTGGACTCTTTAATAGTGACTTTCACTTTGATCATTGGCATGCTAAAAAATTAAGCTTAGAGCATGGTAGATCAAAATCTGACATTTCAACACTCACAGCTGCATCAGTTTTGATGAAATCTCCAACAACACTGATTGAATTGCAGCCCCAACCCATGACAGAGTCTCCACCATGTTTTTCATATGGCTGTAGACACTCAGTATTGGACCTCTTTCATGACCTCCTCCTACAGCCGTTTCTCCCTGTTTACCATCATTAAGAACGACTTCTAGACAGCCACCCTTCCACTGAAACAATTTCTGATGATGCTTCAGTGAACATTAGATGGATAAAGGTTCAGATGGCTCCTATGGGTCCTGTGTTAGGTCTTTGCTGGGGTTTTGTGCATTTTTTGACATGCTGCTGGTAACAAAATGCCTAAAGATATGACTTAAAATTGCTCAATACCCATTAAAACAAGTCACAAAAATCTGGCTCCTTGGAAACAAAATGTAAAGGAATGAGGGTTGACTCAAGACTTTGTACAGTGCTGTAGATTTGTGACGTTTACTCTAAATAATCTCGATATTCAGATTAGTATGAGCATATTTTAAGGTACTGGGATTTTTGATTTAGCATCTCTCAGCATTTTAAGCTTTACTGAATGAAGGGATATTATCATGTATTTCACCTGCTGATAGCAACCTTAAAAAATCCAAGCGCACATGGCTCAATATGTTTGTTAGAGATCACTGATCTGCTTTAAAATATATGCAAATTAATTCCTTTAAAACATAACAGCTCTAATATTGTTTAACAAGCAGGAAAGAGTTGTTTTCTCAGGATTGATGTTGTCACAGTCGCTTTATCTGTAACTAAGAGAACAGTCTGTACAAAAGTTTTTGGCATGGCAAGCTGCCCTCCTCAAGCCCGAGCACAACAGCTTTCTCCTGTGGTGTGCGAGTCTTGAATTTGCTGGAGGTCAACAAACCAATGATTAAATAAAAGGTGTAGAAAGTTTTAATTGTGCAAAAGAACAGGCAGAGCCTAATGAGGCTTTCAAGCACAGAAAACAAACTTCAGAGATCATTTTACACAAACACAGACACCTAATATTGTTGCAGCAGTACATTGCAGGGTCCTAGCTTTGCAGGCAAAAGTGTTAGGATGGAGTAAGTGTTTGTAGAAGCTTTCTGGGAATATTTATCAGACTTCTTAGAAGAAAACCTGAAGAGTAAATCTCTTATTCTTGATATGTTATCCTGGGTCACCTTCACATTTGTTTATGTAGAAAGAGCAAGAGCAGGAGTTGTTACTACTAAGCCATTTACTTTTCAATTGAATTCTTGAACAGTGATTCCAAATGAAGATTTCACATAGGATGTTGATTATTGTCTGATATGCAGCTGTTTTGTTCATTCATTGTGTTTTAAGTCACTAAGATGATCACTCAAACTGAACAGTTTTGGTTTCCATGTTTTCTGTGCCAAAGACTGAAGCTTGTCTGACAGCCCAGAATAAATATGTCACTAACTGCTACATAGACTCTGTAAATAGGCTGGCATAAAGGTGAAACCCAGCCTACACTGTACACCGACATGTTTGTATGCCACGGAGTCTAGTCCTGAAAGCACAGATTTACTCAGATTAGAAGGAGCGACTCTCATTTTATCTGCTGGTCCAGTGTCAGGTATCACTTGGGGTTTCTAACGGTCAAAACTCTATCAAGGGAACATATAATCTGACCTGAACTGTGGCTGGGGTTAACACCTCAAGCAGGGAATTAGGTTGCGTAACCAAAGCCATGAAAGGATCAGGAGAAAAAAGTGTGCTCATCTTAACTCGCAAGACAGCAGAACCTACACTTAATCAATCATCATTCATTTTTTCATGAATCTTGAAAGAGTGCTTTGCGTGTTACAGCAACGAAGCAGGTTATATAAAATGCTAAAAGTGCTTTTCTAAGCATGTGCACACCGTGTACTTGAGGTGAAAAGGTCAGATCAGGTCTAAACATCATCAAATTAAAAACGTGGAGCTAAATTTAGAGATAGTTTAACCACGCAGTGCATCAAGGGGAACATAACCCCGCAGTAAAAATTGATTTTACGACAGCTGTAAATATAGCCCAGTTCCAGACGACTGAACCAGTGAAAAATACATTGAGAGATTTGTAACCAACAATATTTCATATTCTTTATTGCCCTATGGGATGAAGCGCTTTCTGCAAACTCATGTAGTGTAAATAAATGTTTTTTTTATTTTTATGAATGCTTCCATCACCCATGCCTGTGTGTAACTGTGTAATGGTTTCACAGAGCTGAGAATCCCCAGTGATCGCACTCATAGGGAGGCCTATACCGTACAGCAAAGGCCTCTACTGTTTTCTGCTGATGGCGGAGGGTGTTATATGAAGGCTTGTGGTCTTGGGTCCTTGGTGCTGGTGGTGTTAGGAGAGTGCCTTGGCCTGCATCCCCATGGCAACAAGCCTCCATGTAGACTAACAGCTGGCTGTGGAACAGAGGCTGTGGTGTCTTCGGCTGACTGCGCCAGTGTAACATAATCTCCTGAACACTGTGAGAATCTCTTTACACGATGACGACCAGAGCAGCGGGGACCGAGCAACAAGAGAAGCTCTCTGACTGGCTGGTGGAAGGCAGCGCCCAGGGAGATGTCTTACATAAGAGGCTGAGTTCCACTTACAAGAAGGGGAACAGAAGTAGTAAAAACAAGAGAGCCTCTCTGTTTCCTGCACTACCCTTTAATGCCCCTCCTCCTTGTCACAGACATGTTCACTCGCATTCAGATACAGTCATCCATAGCTGAGTTTCTCTGGGAGAAAACTGCCTCTGAGAACTTAACCTGCAGCCAGACCAAACTGTTGTATGCCTCTGTAGTGCATGCCTGCACACGAGTGTAAGTTAGCTGCGAATCCTACAGGTTTTATGTAGCTTTTTTGTTTGTCTTTTTAGTCCAGAATAAGCTTTGCTTTTAATTCACAACAACAGAGAGTGAAAATGGTGCAAATATTGATTTTTATTTTCAAGCCCATAAAGCACAAGACTGCAAGCACACCTGGTGTTATTCAGGAGAGTAGAAATCACATAAAACTCCCATTTTAAAAGGATTTGTACAAGGTAAGGTGGAGGTGGGACTAGTTTGAAATCCCACAGTTTTAAAAGCTTCCCCGATAGTTTGTTGAGATTTTCAAATAAAAAATAAGAAACCTCTCAGCTTGGAGGTATACCTGCAGTTTTGCTGACAGATATTAAGACTGAACAGGTGATCATTAGTGATGAGAGCTCATGAGAGTAAGATAAAAGGCAGCGCCCCTTCTTTCACTTCACTGATATAAACTCCCCGTCTGTGCTCTTTCTCGTGAAGCACAAACTGCAAACAAAGCAAAGCGAGGTCACCTGGAACAGCTACAGCAGTACTGACACAGAGAAATATGAGACAGGCTGTTGAATGTGTGGAGGACATTGCTGTCCTCAGGGTTACAGTTTATGATCCCGTTTGTAAGGAAAATCCAGCAGCTCTGGTTTATTGATGAGGAGGACACTTTTCTTTGGGAGGTTTATTTCCTCTTTCTTATTCTTCTGTGGGAGAACATCATTGACTATGCAAACTGGGTCAGTGTTTTGCATTTTACAAGTTTTTGGTTGCTAATTAATTTCAATTTCTCTCAAATAATCAAGCAGAGAAGTAGTTTGGTGTGTCTCAAATTTCAGACTGCATTACTGTTTGAGATAAAAATTTGTTCTGTCAAGATGATCCAACATTGCTTCAATAATGTTGAGGTCTGGGCTTTGGGGAGGCCAATCCATGACTGATAGTGTTCCACGGTGTTTTTCTATATGGTATGCATTTACTGCATTGGTAGAGTTTTTCATAGAATCAGCTAAAGGAATATTAAATATACAATTTTTCAGATACTGTTCATCTGCTGGTGATGCTTTTTCTAATTTTGTCCTTCATTTGTCCAGTTTCCTCAAATTCTTAAAGGCACACCGCACACCATGCTGAGATATACTAGGGTTTCAGCTAGTGACTCTTTGTTATTAAACACCTATTTGGTGAAAAAAA